TGCCTTTGTATATGTGAACGCACTAACTGATGTTGGTTGCACGCGTTCGTCCAGTGACAGAGCTAATCAAATGGTTCTACTATTTCGTGTTTCGAAATTAATCTCTCCCGATCAGAACAATTATGCCGACCGTAAAATAAATATTATAAATATAAAAATATATATTTATTTTTTTTTCTTATAATCTTTGGATATTGGATATTCGATTACTTTAACTGAGTAATATGTATTACTTTATTATAAAGTTAATCATTCGCTTAATTTTATATATCTTATCATTTTCTTATTATTTAAGATTTATTTAAAGTCTACGTATGAAATACGATATATATAAATTAAATTAATGTTATGATGACATCGATCTTTAAATCTAAATCATAAAATAAATAAAGAAATAGAAACTGAGGAGAAAATTGAAAGAAAATGAAATATAAAGGAAAGGATTGAAGTAAAAAAAAAAGTGACAGATTACTTTTTCTTTTGGGGCAGACATACGTGAAGGAATCCGTTGTAAATGTAATTTGAAGTAGAAAAGGGAAGTAGAGGAAAATAGTGAGAAAGCAGCCGCGAAACCTAGGAACGCATACGAATAAGGAAAAAATTTGCGAAACTTTTTCGCGGTATGAGGTATCGCGATACGACCATACCATGGCCACGCCATTGCCAAGCCGTTACCACGCCGTTATCCCATCGTTCTTTACCACTCCAACCCACATATAACGCTATGTATCGCGGCATACCTCGCCACGTTGCAGTACACTTTACATCGAGGGCTCTCCTTTCTTTTTCTCTCCGTTAAAGCGCTTGCTTTCGTTTCAGTTCTTAAATACGACTAGGAGAGGTGAGGTGAAACGTACAAGGACCTATTTTATACGCACCTCGTCAACGTGTTTTACTTTGTATCTTGTTTTATAAGAAGGGACATAAAGGAAGGAAAAACAATAAAAAAGAAAGAGAGTGTGAACCAAAGAATGAATAATTGCGAAACATTAACGATCGTAATAAATAAAGGATTATCATCTAAAAATCTTGTTAAACGTTAACTCATTTTTTTTATCATTTTTTTGTTTCTATTATGTTATTTTTCTTTTTCTTTATATTCTTTTTCTTATATTTTTATATAGACACATATATTGTATTTACAAAAGAAATAACTCTTATTAATTTTTGTTTAAAAAAAAATAAAAATAGTATTTATGATATATGTGCAATAGATTTAAATTTTCTTTAATGAAATATTTCATTATCATACAATGTTACATAATTATTGACAATATTATGAAATTGTGTACATTAAATTAAATTGTAATAAAATTGGACAACTGTCATTTTTGACATAGAAAATATTTTCTCAAAAAAATCATATATTCATTATAAAACCATATAATATTATATATAATTGTATATTAAAATAAAATATACAATTTTCACACGATTCTAAATATACAAATTTTTTATCTATTTTGATATTTATATTTGATATTTATAAGAATTTTCTGATTTCTGATGAATTCATTTTAATTCATACAAAAAAAAAACAAAAAATATTTTAATTATTTATGACTGAATTCAAATATTCAATATTTTTTAAAAATTTTGTTAACACTAATATATACACATATATATAATGGTAATAATTCAACAGCTAGCAATTAATTGGTCATTTTCAAATTTTGAAAATAGAAAATGAAAATAGAAAACGTTTCATACGGATTCAATGAACAATTAAAAGGAAATATATATAAAAAAATCTTATCGTCACTTTATATAGTTTTTCGAAAGATTCTTTCGAGGTTTCCGTCATCGCTCTTTGGAACTGTCGTCTCCATCGAGCACAACTCGATCGATCGACAGCAAACTCAACGTGCCACGTACTTTTCGCGATAAGGTGCAGGATAGAGAAAGAGAAGGGAGAGACGATAGTGTGACGAAGATAGGAGAGGGAAAGAGCGAGTTTGCCCGGTGGCTTCAGCATTGATCGTTCCTAGAAGAAGAGAAGGAGCCAAGCGAAACGAAGAAGAGGCGTACACGAGAAATTCGAGACGCCCGGCGTCGCCCGGCGGCGAAACGTTATCCGGTATGCAAGAAAGGACGTCCTCATTAGCGGGACCCGACGTCGTTTCAGCTCAACAGGAGCGATCGTGGCGTGGCTCGACGTGATACCGCGTCAACCCGTCTTGGTTCAGCTCGGCATAACTATCCCTCCCGCCTGTATTTATACTTTTCTTCGATACGTCCGAAAAATATGAAAAAAGCGAAAGAGAAAAAAATCCGATTTGATTCGATGATCTATATTTAATAATGATTTCAATAATGATTGGAAAAAAGTACATTTAAAATTTCTGTTATTTTAATTGAATTAATTTAATAATTTGTCATATCTATTTTTTATTGCATTCTATGATTAACCTTATAATCGTGCTCGATACTGTATAACGTGATGCGTGATATAAAAGCATGGAGACGTAAAATTTCAGTCAATCTTAGATATATGAATTATTTAGATATATGAAACATTATATATTCGTTATGTTAATATTGCAATATATTGGTATTTAAATAAAGTGTATATTGCAATACAATTTTCATTGTCATAATCATAATTTATTCTATTCTCTTTAATCATTTTTGTAATCGCTCATTCACACTAGAACGTCTCCTGACAGAAGGCTGATCCCTCGAGCTGCGATGCCCAACTACTAAACTGCGACCTCCGTTCGAGTTCGCCGTTAATCCGTTTATCGCGTTACCGCCACCGCCAGTCTAGCAACCCCCCGACCGATTTACCTACCACTCTCTCCCTACCGTCCAACACATATCAACGATGTTGGAGATGCACACCAACTTTAGACAGACGTTAAACTTTTACCACGAAATCTAATATTATATCTTATATCTGTCTCTATATCAATGTTGTAATTATACTTTTTCTACATTACATATATATAATATTACATTATATAATATTTATATGCATATTATATATATTTTTACACATTGCATTAATCCTTGGATGAATCATTAAAGAATTACTTATTAAAATATACTTTTTAAATTTTAAAAAACTGTTTCAATATCAAATACAAACTTTTGGTAAAGAAATTATTTTTAATTATTTATAGATATGTAGTAACATGA